ATAATTTATTTATTATTTAATATTTTTGTAAAAAGAAGAGATATTTTAATTTTATCAATCGAGTTGTCTAAATCCTAAAAAAATTAGTTTTTGCGACATTTACAAACTGTTGCAAATAATAAAAATACAGTTGCAAAAGATCTTTTGCGATGGCCCATGCGACGGCAAATGGGGGTCGCGAATGTGGGGGTGGCAAATACTTTTTGGGACGACAAAGGAACGGTCGCAAATTATTTGTGGTCATCTAAACTACTTATGCAACTACTATTTTGCCGTAGCAAAAAATAAAGAAAAATGCTAACATGTTTTTTGGTGACTATCTTGTTACCATTGCAAAAATAAAAATAAAAAATACAAATACAAATAAAAAATAAATAAAAATAAAAACAAAAATTCATAGAAGTGTAACATTAAACACTCTGGGAATAGCAATGACAAGAATTTAGACAGTATAGCATTATAGTTTAATTAGGCATTGCATTTGAGTCTCAAAATTGGAGCCATATATGAAAGTTATTGTTACGCCTTGAAAATAACCATCCAAATCTTGTTCTCCTCGACATTTCCACCACACAACACACATACAAGATGGAAACATGTATGATACATTTTTTACATTTCTATCCCTCTGTACTATTCTTCAACATTTACAATATTATTCCATTACATCCCAAATAAAGCAAAACAGTTCGAAAGGAAAGAAATGTCTACAACAATTACGTCCCAACTGAACTTCTTACAAAAGTACATCTTCAAAATATAACAACATATAATAACAACCCTTGTTAACCAAGTTCAACAAAATATGACAAAACATGCCATTAAGCTCCCAAAAAGGTTCATTCTTATCAAAACAGTCACTTGGTTAGCACTTCATCTTCATATCCTGAAAATTGTTAGCTTTGGGGTGAGCATAAGCTCTGTAGGTGATGAATTTAACAAGTTATATATAGCCAATTGAAAGGCTCATGATCATGCAATGCAACAGTTGAAAACATGGAAATGAAGAAAGGTACAGTGTTTATGTAGGTAAAAGAAAAGATGCGATGTAAGAACTTTGTTCTATCTTCCATATTCACTTCGAGTGGTAAACGTACTATGACATCCCAAGTAAGAGTCGAAAGTCAAAACATAAATATGTAATTATAGTTTTGTACACTGAAAATAGTTCTACATTTCTCGGCTCTATAAACGGCGAGGCAATGGGCACTCAAAAACTTTTCCCACTTCCACATTTGCCGACTCCATAAACGGTGGGGACGTGGATACCAAAAACCATGTTTTTCCACATTTGCCAGCTCCAGAAACGGCGGGCTCATGGACATCCAAGGACATCCAAAAACATTTTCCTACATTTGTCCGGCGATATACCCAGATAGGGCAATTAGGTACCTTGACTCCCCGTGCGGGTACCAATTACAATACACAACTCAACTCAACCCGACTCGCTACTTGGACTTATAGACAATTTGCCCCCTTACAACCTTTTAACCTTCATTTCATGATGATGTCAAGAGAGAATGTAAGATGCATATGATGCATGAATTTGGAAAACCTTTGATATTCCCTAAATAATCCCAAATCATAACGATTCAACATTTCTCACATCAATAATAAAGAATGCCTCATAAGCAATGTTCATTATCATCAAGGGTTATATAGGGAAAAAGAGCTTCAAAACTTGTATTCCACCCTTGCTGTTAAATAAATACATTCAATTTTATGTTTTTGAAACCAATGCAGCAAAACCCCTCTTTATTGAATAGGTCTCAAGGTTAGGGTATTGGGAAAATTGGGGTTTTCTCTCTAATGTACAAGTTGGAGATCAACTCTCATCAGCACTTCTATAATCTTCAATAATAAACATGATTTCATCCATAATCATAGAATATCGCCACTTTTTTCCAAAATCACTTACTAGCAACACAATTTATACATAGACGTATATACATATATATATATATATATGTATATATATAACATGGATAGCTAATGAAATTATCACATAAGTGGTTCAAATTGAAGATATAGTGAGTTAAAGACACTGCTACCTCGAAATTGGAAGCTAGGCTTGAGAATCACACTTGAAATGTTGATGAACTCGCGAAACAATCGATAGAAATGTTGATCTAAGCCTTCTTTCAACCTTTCTTGAAAGATTTTGGGTGGATCTTAGGTTGAAATTAGGGAAATCTAGAGCGGATGGGCTAGGGTTTTCGGAAGGTAAGGTTTGACAGAGGGAGATATGAAAAAGTGAAGAGAAAAGGAGTAAGAATCAACTTTTAAAAATATGCTATCCCGACTGACCGCTCGAGCGCAACTTCCTTCGATCGAGAAAACAACACAAATTTAGAAGGGTCGCTGGAGTGAAACTTCCTACACTCGAGTGAAAAACGAGAGGTCCTAGAAGTTTTGCAGAGCTACAGAGAAATTATTAGGAGAAAACATTTTGCGCTCGAGTGACAACTTCTTCGCTCGAGCAATCCGCCTATAGAACTGCCAACTACTAAGAGCTGAAGATCTACGCTCGAGCGACAAAAGCGTCACTCAAGTGGTCTGAAAAACCCAAGTGTTATAGCCTACCCTCTTTAAAGAATTTCGCCCCTGAAATTTCGGTAATCCCTATCAAAAGCAACTCCAATAATTCCCAAGAAGACAATTACCACTCTTGTAATGTCTCTAATCATCATAACATTATTACAATATAATAATTCAAATTATTAATAACTAAAACTCATGAACTTCTCACATTTACAACACATGATGTTCACCAAAAAGTTTATTCACATTATATTGGCCATATTACAAACATCAACATCATAAGTCAATAAAATTACATATTCTAAGAACTTAGGGTATCTCTCTCGAACTTCAACTTCTCTTTCCCAAGTGGCTTCTTTTACTCTGTGATAGTGCCATAATACATTGACTAAGGGAATAGTTTTGCCCCTTAATACCTTGACTAGGATCTTCAACTTCTCTAAACTACTTATGGTGACTCTGTGATGGTGTCATAATACCTTCACTACAAGAAAAGTGGGCTTAAAAGACGAAACTTTTTGCAATGACACAACTTGTCATTGCAAAAAATGTGACTTTTTGAGACGGCACAACTTGCCGTCGCAAAAAAATGTGACTTTTTGTGACGGCACAACTTGCTATCGCAAAAAATAGAGTATTTGCGACGGCAAAAATTGTTGTCGCAAAAAAAATAGAGTATTTGCGATAGTAGAGATTGCTGTCGCAAAAAAATAGAGTTTTTACGACGGCACCAGTTGCAGTCACAAAAAAAAAGAGTTTTTTGTGACTGTAATAGGTACCGTTGTAAAAAACAAAAAAGTAAAAAAAAAATATATATATATATATTGTGGCTTTGAGATGGCTTCATATATATATAGTCACAAAATGGTTTAAATAAATGTAACGGTATTTTTCTGTTACAAAAAAAAAAAATTAAAAAAAACGACGCTGTCTTACTCTTTTGATATAACATTTCTCTTTTTACCCATTTTTTCATCCTCGTGTCTCTCTGTCTCTCTTCTCTTTCTCTCTTTCACTCATCACTCTTCTCTGTCTGTCTGTCTGTCTGTCTCTCTTTGTGTCTCTGTCTCTTTTCTTTTTCTCTTTCTCACTTATCACTCTTCTCTGTCTGTCTGTCTGTCTCTCTTTCTCTCTGTGTCTCTCGCCCATCTCTTTTCTCTCTCTCTTTTCTTTATCTCTCTCGCTCATGTCTCTCTGTCTCTCTCGTTTATTTCTTTTCGCTCTATTTTTTTTTCTCTCTCTCTTTGTCTATCTCTCGCTCATCTTTTGTTTTTCTCTTTTTTTTCCCTCTTTCTCTCTCTCTCTCTGTGAGTGTGTCTATCTCGTTCATCTCTCTTCTCTCTTTGTCTTTTTTTTTTCTCTGTCTCTCTCTCGTTAATCTCTTTTTGCTTTTTTTCTCTTACTTTTTGTTTATCTATTGCTCATCTCTTGTTTCTCTCTGTCTCTCTCTCTTTATGTCTCTGTCTCTATCTCTTTCTCTCTCTGTCTCTCTCTCTCTCTCACTCATCACTATTCTCTATCTCTGTCTGCCTGTCTGTTTGTCTGTCTGTCTGTCTCTCTCCCTCTCTCTTCCATTATGCTCGCTTTGCTCTCTCTCTCCCTCACCTCTTCTCTATTTAGTGAGCTCACTCTCGATTTATTGATCCACTACAAGAAAATGCGCTTTTAGCGACCACTTTGTTTCTTTCTCATTTATCTCTCTCTCTCTTTCTTCTCTATCTGTCTCTCACTCATCTCTTTCTCTCACCATCCATCTCCTCTACCACATTTACCATTACTACAAATGCCATTCCACCACTACCACTAATACCATTGTTGCCACTCCACCTCTACGACTACCATTACTACTTCCATTGCCACCACTCCATTACCACCACTACCACTATTGCCACTACTACTACCATTACCTCTCCTCCACCACCACCACTCCATCTCCTCTACCACTACCACAACTTCACCACTAATCTCCTTTGCCATCACCACTACCACCACCTCTTGTCCACCACCTTCACCACTATTGCCACTCCCTCTATTCTACCACAAAAAATTAGTTCTTGATTTTTAGTAACAAAAAAAAATGGGCCGCAAAATTTTTTTTTTCATTGACAAAAAAAAAATTAACTTCATGTTAACGGAAAATATTTTTCCATTAAAATATTACCCCTACTTCTACCAAGTAAATAAATAAAATTTCATTAAAATAAAAATGAAACAAATAAATTTTCAACTTTAGTAACTAAAAAAAAATAAAAAATAAGAAAAAATTCATTAACTACAAAAAAAAATTTATTTTAATAAAAAATATTTTTTTTTGGCAACGACAACTCCCGTCGTAAAAAAAATAAAAATAAAATTAAACGGCATCGTTTTATTAGTTAAATATTTATTTGTGACAGAAAAAATAAAAATAAATAAATAAAAATAAAAGAATTTGAGGCTTAGCCCTTTTTGTCCCATTCCCGCTCGGTTTTCCCTCCTCAACCAAATATCCCCAATCTCAAAAACCAAAAACCAAAAATCCCTAATCTCTTCTGATGGCGCGCTCTCTCTCACTCTCTCGTTTTTCATCTGGATCGATCGGATCAACCTCGTAAGAGATCGACTCTCTCTCATCACAAGATCGATCGATCGACCGACTTCACTCTCTCATATCGCCAATCGAGCTTCTCGGCGAAGAGACCGATTGACCTTCGAAAACACCAATTTGCTCTGCAACTCATAGGTAAGCCTCTCTGTCTCCGACTCTCTCTCTCTCTCTCTCTCTCTCTCTCCTCGGCCTTCTCCTCTTCTATGTCTGACTCTATTTTTTTTTTGTTCATCTCTGTGTAAATTCATCAAATTCGTGATCTAGGCTACTGTGTAAATTCATCAAATGAATCAATGGCTACTGTGTAAATTCTTGATCTAGAAGAAAGGGAGGTTCTGAAGTGTTGTTAGGTCTGTAAAAACATGAATCTTGAGATTTTCATGCATAAGTACATTGGATTGATTGGATATTGGTCAGTATAATTATGAATTTTTTTTTTTACTATGCTTATACTAGGTTGATTGTTTGTTTTATTTTTGTCAGTATAAACATGAATATTGAGATTGTTTTTCCACTATCCAATCAATCCCTACCGACATGCCTCACCTCTCTCGAGTGCCCGGCATTCTTTCCACTGGTATTTATCTATTTTTTTACTGTTTGGTTTGTTGGAAACACTGGGAAATTATAAAATAGGTGAGTTTGGAAAACATGAAGATCAGTGACATTTAATATTTTTGTTTTCATATTGCAGCCTATTCATTTTGCACTCATTTGTTGGTGTTTTTAAGCAGGTGAACAGAATGATGCTACTTCCTCTCCTGCTCAAGGAGAAAGGAAAGGGGATAATGTTAGTAGGTCAAGTAGTTCAAGCAGTTCTAGCAGCGACTCTAGTTCTTCTTCAAGTGGTATGATATTTTTAGAAGTTTTTCCACTGTAAACTGCCATTGAAGCAAATACATTTATTGATTTAATGTGATACTCTTCTTGCAGATTCTGATAGCGATAGTACCTCTACTTCTGGATCAAATGCAGGGCATTCACCTAGAACTTGAGTGGATTCAATTAAGGTAGAAGGCATTGTTTTGAATTCTTTTCTGATATGATTTGTGCTGATATTGACTTTCAATGTCTCAAATGTGTGGATTCTACACCATATGTTATGGTTGCACCAGTATGGATGGCAGGATGATCTGTAAATATCATGTAGCACAAAGATTATTGGTTTGTAGATAGTTTAGTAGAACTTTGGGTTGTAATGGTATGTGTAACATGATGCACTGTTGTTTTTGTCATGGCCAAGATTTGAATCATACCACTTAGTCTGACTTTTTTTGAAGTGAGTGGTATAAAGAGGTAGCAAATGTTAGAAGCCAGTAAATTTTTATTCAATTAACAGTTTCTCAAGTTGAGAATAGAAATTTGGTGTTTATGCCCCCTGCATGCGCCGGTGGGGTGTGGGGCATGGTATTCTTAAGTGTGGATCTAAGAGTCTGAAATTGTGTCAAAATTTTATTTTTAATCGTCGCTTGATTTGTGTTTTAACAAAAGTTGATTACTACGTAGGTTTATGCAAAGAACATCACTTCCGGTAGAAAACATTATGTTTTTTTAGAGAAATGGATGTTTGAGCTTAGTTCAGTGTAATGTTGTAAAAAATAATTGTAGGAAGGCATTCCATAGTTTATGTAGGGTTATCTAAGGATAAGGAGTCTTTCCATGCTGGACATGTTACATGTTTTTATTTATCTGTTGAGTTTTCCATGCTGGACATGTTACATGTTTTTATTTATCTGTTGAACTAGTAAGATTTCTTCTTGGTCAAGGACTTGGGAGTTTCTTTGCAATAGGCAGAATTTTTTTTAAAAAAAAATTTAAATTCCTATTTTTTCTGTGCATGGAAATCCGCTTGTCAGTCTATGAGATTCAACTTTATGTAATTTGTTGATAGTAATTGTCGTGCAAATTTATCAACATTTGTTCAGGCATAGAGAGAATAGGTGGACAAACAAAAATCAGATGTGGATGCAATGCTGTTGTGTTTAACCTTGAGGATAATCATAGTTTAGCCCCTAAAACCTTGTTTTACTCCACCAATTAGGTGTCATATTTCGTGGGTTAAGTCCCCTCGTTCTGTTCCTACTACTCGTTGTGGCTACCATCCTTATATTTGTAAGTTTTTATTCCCTTTGCAGTTCACAAGGTCATTCCATCAACTTAGTAGAGGACTTCTGTCCTTGTTCAGCTTAGTTCTTCTGATTACAGCTAGGAGAGTTAGTTCTTTGTTTAATATATGAACTAACATTGTGGTGGACTTCCTAAACACTCACCTGATTTGCTTGCCATTGCTTGCTTTCTTCATATATGTAAAGCTTAGAAGTTAGAATTTTATTGGCGAGAGCCCAATTATTGATTCAGATGGGCACCTTTTAAAAATTTTTATTTATTTATTTATTAGTAGATTAAGATGGGGCTATACAAGGAAAAAGCAAACCATTTAAAATAATTTAAGGGATTATTTGAAAGCTAAATGTCATTTTTCTCCCACTTTTCCCTCCAGTATTCTTATGAGCTTCTGCTGCAATATTTACACAAGACACAATCCATTACAATGCTTGGGGTTATTAATGAGCATATTAACTTTAAAGGTACAACTCCCTGCTCGTTAATTGCATGTTTTCCATCATGATAATATTTTTTTCTACTGTATCTTGGTGTTTTAGTTAATTTTTTTCTTTTTCATTGAGCTAACAATACCTCTTTGCGGTTTCTCCTGGACAACCAAGCTCAATTTCTGATGATGAAGGTGTTACACTTGTTGGGAGTGGCCAGGATGCAGCTAATCTGATAAATCAGAAAGAAATAGACTGGGGGGTAAGTTACTCTTATTTATGTAGTGTTTCTTAACTGAAGATTCAAAAGAATTATAGTTTATTTATTATTTGCGTAGCTGTATACAAAAGGTATTAATTCTGGCATCTGCTGATAGTATTTTTTTTTTGGATGTAGCTGCTGGTCAGTGGTTTTTCTAAATGTATACAATTGTTGTTATATATATATATATATATGTATAGAAGAAATGACAAAGGCATAGAAATGAGATGTATAGAGATGACAAAGGCATAGAAATGAGAACATAGTTTGTGTTAAGGGAGAAAGATGGACACAGAGATGACTAGTTTGTATCAATCAATTCATCTTCTAGAACATCATGAATAATTGCAATCAAGAAACTTTTTTGTTCAATATTCTCATCCTCATACATTAGTTTATAAAATATTATAAATTATAATGCATCATATTTTTGGAACTTGCCTTTTCATTTCTTGGTTCAGTTATAGGGCACAATTGTTAAAATTTGATTTAACTTTAAAACAGTTGCATTTAGTTCAAGATGATAAAATACTAAAAAAAATTTACTGTAGGCAAATAGTTTCTTAAGAAACTTGAATTCAAGGTGTTAACGTCCCAAAATCACCAAACGGCGTCGGATTGGCATGAAACTTGGCACACACGACTGCTTAGGCACGAGAGACTTGTGGGAGAAGACGGGACTCCAATCGGGTTCCCGGTTTGGGAGTTAGCCGGATTTCACTCTAGGCAAACTAGTTCCTTAAGAAACTTCAATTCGAGGTGTTGACGCCCAAAATCACCAAACGGGATTAGATTAGCACGGAACTTGGTACACACGACCGCTTAGGTATGAGAGACTTATGGGAGAAGACGAGACTCCAATCGGGTTCTTGGTTTGGGAGTTAGTGTCGGATTTCGGTTTAGGCAAACTAGTTCATTAAGAAATTTGAATTCGAAGTGTTGACGCCCCAAACTTTCCAAATAGCATCGGATTAGCACGAAACTTAGCACACACGACCGCTTAGGCACGAGAGACTTGTGGGAGAAGACGAGACTCCAATCGGGTTCTCGGTTTTGGAGTGCCGGATTTCACTTTAGGCAAACTCTTTGCTTAAGAAACTTGAATTCGAGGTGTTGATGCCCCAAAATCGCCAAACGGCGTCTGTTTGGCATGAAACTTGACACACACGACCGCCTAGGCACGAGAGACTTGTGGGAGAAGACGTGACTCCAATCGGGTTCTTGGTTTGGGAGTTAGAGTCGAATTTCACTCTAGGCAAACTAGTTCCTTAAAAAACTTGAATTCGAGGTGTTGACGCTCCAAAATCACCAAACGGGGTCAGATTAACACGAAACTTGGCACACACGACCACCTAGGCACGAGAGACTTGTGGGAGAAGATGGGACTCCAATCGGGTTCTCGATTTGGGAGTTAGAGTCGGATTTCGGTCTAGGCAAACTAATTCCTTAAGAAATTTGAATTCGAAGTGTTGACATCCCAAAATCGCCAAACGGTGTCGGTTTGGCATGAAACTTGGCACACACGACCGCTTAGGCACGAGAGACTTGTGGGAGAAGATAGGACTCCAATTGGGTTTCCGGTTTAGGAGTTAGAACCAGATTTCACTCTAGGTAAACTAGTTCCTTAAAAAACTTGAATTCGAGGTGTTGACGCTCCAAAATTGCCAAACGGGGTCGGATTGGCACGAAACTTGGCGCACACGACCGCCTAGGCACGAGAGACTTGTGGGAGAAGACGAGGCTCGAACCAGATTCTCGGTTTGAGAGTTAAAGCCGGATTTCTGTCTAGCCAAAATTATTTATCTAATTATCTTTGTAATTATATAGTAGTTAATTTTTTTATGTTTTTTTTAATGAAAATATTAACACATAATTATATTGTCATTAATTATTTTTATTTTTTGTTTTCAGATATTTTCCCAGTAGCAGTTTGCTTCTTGTGGAATGCAGGCGTGTGAAGATTGCGATTAACTTTTGTTTTTGTTACCCACGGAAGAATCATGACGAAAACTTTTGTTTTTGATTTATGTTATTTTGAATTGTGAACAACATTATGTATTTAAACATTGTATATGTATTATGCGACACTATGTAGTGGGATAGTTTTGTTGATGTATTGTTATGAATGGAAGAATATTTTTATTATGGATGAATTGTTATTTTTATACTGAAATTTTTATATTATTATGTAATTATTGGTTTATTTTTCAGTTATTTTTCATTTAATACAGGTAATTTTCATATTTTTAATAATTTTATTGTAGTTTATTTATTTATTTTTTATTTTTTTGAGACGGCACTACACCGTCTCAAAAAACGTTAGAACCAGATTGTTTTTGTGACATAAGAAATGTCGTCGCAAAAGATATTGGCAACTGTTGAAAAAAAAAACCTTTCGCAACGGTATTATTTGCCGTCGCAAATAACCTTTTAGAGACGGCGTTGTGCTGTCTCAAATAAACTTTTAGTGACGGCAGGTTACCCATCGCAATAAATCACTTTCGTGACGGTATTTTTACCGTCGCAAATGATACTTTTAGCGACGGCAACACAGTGCCGTCTAAAAAAATCTCAGATTTTTACATATTAATAGCGACGGCAGAATTCCGTCGCAAAAAGGCAACTTTGCCATCACGAAAAAAAGGCGACGGCATCGTATTGTCGCTAAAACCTTTTAGCAACGCCATTTGTTGCGACCTATCACTTGCTAACGCTAAAAGTCATCTGTCGTCACAAAAAAGCTTTTGAGACGGCATTTTGAGTATTTGTGACGGTATTTTACCGTCGCAAAAAGTCAAATTTTTTGTAGTGCTTGACTCAGTTATTATCTAGCAGAATTGTTGTTATAGGCAAACTCAACTAATGGTAGATGTTTCTCCCATGACCCTTTGAAGTCTAGTACATAGGCCCTCAACATGTTTGCTAAGATTTGAATTGTATGCTCAGACTGACTGTCAGTTTGAGGATGGTAAGCAATGCTAAAGTTCAATTGAGTTCCCATAACGGTTTGCAAACTTTGCCATAACCGTGCGGTGAAGCGAGGATCTCTATTTGAGAAAATACTCCTCGGAACCCCATGAAGCCGAACAATCTCCCTAACATACAATTCTGCTAGATAATCAACTGAGTCACCCATGCACATTGCTAGAAAATGTGCCAACTTTGTCAGTCGATCCACTACGACCCAAACAATGTCATTACCTTTATGAGTTCTTGGGAGACTCACAACAAAGTTCATCGTAATGTGCTCTCATTTCTTGCAACAACCTAGCTAGTCTTTGATGTTCTGCCTTGACTTGCTGACAAGTTAGACATTTTGACACAAATTGAGCCACATCTTTCTTTATGCCTCTCCACCAAAATTAACTGCTCAAGTCACAATACATTTTTGTACCTCCAGGATGAACAATAAAGTGGGAGTGATGGAAGTCTCGTAATACATCATCTCTACAAGATTGTGGAACAAATAGACGATCTACACATCGAATACTTGAGTCAGAATGCACCCTTAATACCCTTTCCTCTTTTCCTTGCAAGATTTTCTTTCTAATAGCCTCGACTTTTGGATCATTTTGTTGTGCTTCCAAGACTCGGGTAATTAATGTTGGCTGAGCTAAGATTGAAAGCAAGGTAGCTTGACTAGGTGGTTTGCCAAGCCGTACATCAAACTCGTTTAGGTCACCTAACATCTTCCACTTCCTTATGGCAAGGCTAGCAACCGCACCAACCGCACTCATATACTTTCTGCACAAGGCATCGGCAACTACGTTTGCCTTTCACGGGTGATAGTGCAATTCAAAATTGTAGTCCTCCATATACTCCATTCACCTTCTTTGACGCAAGTTTAAATATTTTTGAGAAAACAAATACTTGAGGCTCTTATGATCAGAAAATACATCAAATTTCTCTTCATAAAGATAGTGTCTCCAAAGTTTCAAGGCGAAGATGACTGTGGCCAACTCAAGATTGTGAGTGGGGTAATTTTTTTCATGAGTTTTCAGTTGGCGAGAATTGTAAGCTACAACTTTGCCATCTTGCATCAAAATGCATCCCAACCTCTCTCTAGAAGCATCACAATAAACAATATAACCCCTTCCTCTTTTTGGGATAATCAGAATAGGTGTAGTAGTTAATCTAGCTTTTAACTTAAGAAACAATTTCTGACATGTATCATTCCAAACAAACTTCACCCCTTTTCTGGTTAATTTGGTCAAAGGCACTGCTAGAGTGGAAAAATCCTTTACAAAATGCCTGTATTACCCAGCAAGACCTAAGAAGTTATGAATCTCAAAAACATTTCTAGGTCGTTCCCACTTTTTCACTGCTTCAATTTTGGAAGAATCTACTGTAACTCCCTCCTTTGAGACCACGTGACCTAAAAACTTCAATTCTGAGAGCCAAAACTCACATTTCTCGTATTTGGCATACAACCGATGTTCTCTCAGGAGTTGTAAGGCAATGTGAAGGTGCTTCTCGTGCTCTTCTTCAGAACGCGAGTAAATAAGAATGTCATCTACAAAAACTACCACAAACTTGTCAAGGTAGTCTCAGAAGACTTGATTCATTAAGTCCATGAAGGTAGTAAGAGCATTGGTCAAGCCAAATGGCATCACAAGGAATTCACAGTGCCCATATCGGGTACGGAAGGCCGTCTTAGGAATATCCTCCTCCTCCACCCACAATTGATGGTAACTCGATCGTAAATCTATCTTTGAGAAACACCAAGAATCCTTAAGTTGGTCGAAAAGATCATCTATCCGAGGTAAAGGGTATCTGTTCTTGATTGTGACCTTATTGAGCTTACGATAATCGATGCATAACCGTAACGAACTATCTTTCTTCTTGGCAAAGAGGGCCGGTGCTCCCCAAGGAAAAGTGCTAGGGTGTATAAAACCCTTGTCTAACAATTCTTGTAACTGCTCCTTTAAGATAGGCAGCTCCACTGGGGCAAATCTATATAGTGACATAGAGATAGGTGTTGTACTGGGAACTAAATCTATAGAAAATTCTATTTCACGATGAGGTGGTACGTCAGTGAGATCCTTAGGAAAAACATCTGTATATTCACAGACTACCTTAGGAAACATCCCCCTAACCACATTATTATTATTATCATCTACAATGGTTGCAAGAAGGAAACTGAGTTTGCCCTGAGTTTGCGGGTCATACAATGGTGACAACCCTCTGTTAGCACTATCCCCCAGAAAATAAAAACAGTCCCCTTCTGCGGTACACACCTTAACTCTTCCACGGTAGCAATCTATAATAGGACGATAAGAGGACAACCAGTCCATACTAAGAATGACATCAAAGCTTGACATTTCTAACAACACCAAATTAAAAGGGAGTTGACGTTCAGCTACCTTGATTATACACCCACGACACCCATAATCCAAAACGGCTTGACCCCCAAGTGGTGACTAAACCATAAGTGAAGATTCTCATCGTTCTACTTTTAGACCCAACATGGATGCAAATGCAGATGCTATGAATGAATACGATGCCTCGATATCTATCAATACATTGGCCTATGTGTTATAAACGAGATAGGTATCTCTCATCACCGATGGCTCGGATGACTATTCAGGAGTAGTAACAACATAGACTCGTCCTTGGGGTCTTTGAACACCCTGATCACCTCTCGAAGTATTGGCTGGTTGTGTTGACTGTGCTGATGTGGCTCCTTGTACTACCCTCGATACTTGCCCAGACTGAACTGATTGATAGTTTTGCCTCTAACCTTGACTTGCTTGATAACCCCCAAAATTTCGAGACCCCAAAGTACTCTCCACTCCCACTAATTGTGGACAAGATCTCTTCATATGACCTGATTGCCTGCAATGGTAGCACGCAGGCAGTTGGCCCCTCCCTTGGGCTTGACCTTGAGAACGAGCTGGTTATTGATGACTAAGATTCTATTTGCAGTGTGATGCCTTGTGACCTTGCTGGCCACATTTGAAGCAGGTGACATGATAGGGACCTGCACTTCCTAAACTTCTCATAGAAATGAATCCTGATGATTTGGCTTGTTGGGGTGTAGACTGAGAAGATGAAGAGAAAGAATCCCTAGATCTCTTAGAAGATCCTGTATCACCCTTAGATTTGGTGTACCTCGGCCTCTTGTGCTTTTGTTTCGCTTCTTCGGCCTATAACATAATCTCTACATAGGCTGCAGCCTCTACCAATCGATCATGCTTCCGGTACACATTACCGATCACCTTTATCAGAATTTTGGGCCTCAATCTCTTCTCGAATTCTATACACCAACATTCGTCGTTCGCTACAAGCTTAGGCGCAAAACTGGCTAAGCTAGTGAATGTGGCCTTAAATTTTGCCACTGCTGTGTCTAATTTTCTTAAGTCTTCGAATTGCTTCCTCAACCTCTTCCTTACTGTGGGACGCATCGACTTCTCCTGGAAAGCGTGAGTGAATGCCTCCCAGGTATGCTCCACTCCATGCTTGATCGATTTCCACCATTAGCCAAACTCCCAATTTAACTGATAAGTCATCAATGCCACCCGAAGTTCTCTGTCACAGATATCTAGAATCTCAAATGAATTGATAATCTACTCTAGCCATTTGTCTGCCTTCATTGGATCATGCACACCACTAAACTTGGCGAAGTTAGAACAAAAAAATTCCTTCTTCAAGATGGAGACTTGAGTTTTCTCTTCAATTGTCCTTGCCGCTTGCTCAGCTCTGAGTATCTCCATGGACTCATGAAGAGCTCCTGCCATCTCTCGGGCATTGCATCTTAGGCCAACGGAACAGCCGCATCATTCTGCCCCACCATTCTTCTTGGAAGGGAGATCTTGCTGTGTCAACATATCCCAATGACCTCTATAGAGCATACCTCGACCTCTTCCTCGTCTCGACATCCTATATAAAGGTAAGGAAAGAATGAATTAACTCAAAGCCTATGCATCACCAACCAACTCACAAGTCACACATGAATTAGACATATGTTTATGCAAATGTCTATATCACGTAAAATACACCATGTAGTCATATAAACACATAGAGCACACCCGAGTTACTCTCTCAAGACTCTGACTAGTCCCATGGCACTCAAAGATTTCCTAGTGGAAAAAGTATTGATCAGGTGCCTTTCCAAAAGGAGTTCAATAATTGTAATAGGTACAAGTCATAT